AAGTAAAAAGAAGCAGCTTTTGACTACTTTTCATTTGGGTTAAGCACACTAACATCTCGATGTGTGTGAAAATCTACCCGTTTTTGTGGGTTTTCCCCACCTTTTAAATCCTGTTTCTGTATGGGATTTCCCCCATGTGATAAAGTCCTATGTTTCTGTCATCCCTGACCAACTGCCCAGGGCTCTGCAAGGAGTACATAGTATAACATAGTTAGACTGGGATTCAAGAGACCCAGGTTTTAGTCTATGCTGTGCCAAGGAACTCACAGGGTGATCTTGAGCGAGTCTCTCTTTTTCTCTTCCATGCAGCCTGTTATGACAATAACATTGGAAAGAAGAAAGCTAGATATGCTGCCTTGAGTGCATTGGAAGAATGGCTGACATAGGTCACCAGAGCAGCCACTCAGGACCGCTGGGAGTACAGCCAAATCCAAACCCCCAGTGCCATCATAGTAGATGAGAAGCCTTACCAGAAAATACTTTGCACCAGATATCCTTCAACTTGGATCCGTTCCTATGGATCTAAAAGTCTGGGAAGGATAGACCACCTAACTTTGGTGGTCTAGAGATTAGGATTCAGCACTCTCCCACAGTGGCCTGGGTTTGCATTCCAGGTCAGAGAACCAAAATGAAGCAGAATGGCTTTTCTGACAGAATTTATGTATATGACACTGCTTTAACTGCCATGGCTCAATACTATGGAATTCTGGGGTTTGTAGTTCTGTGAGATACAGTATTCAGTCTTCTCTGACAGAGAGCTCTGATCCACAACAAACTACAAATCCCAGAATTCAATAGCATTGAGGCAATGACGGTTAAAGCAGTGTCAAACTGCATTACTTCTGCAGTGTGGCAGGCAGCCCAAGCTGCACCACATTAGTAGATGGTAGTGAATCAAGGATCTAATTTTATTTAAAAAAAGAAATGCATTTCTTTCCCCCACCTTGACAGGCCAGAATCTGAAGAGAATGGAAGCCTCATACACTGCAATACAGTAAGTAAAGTGTAAGCCTTTATGGTGAGGAAATTCCATCAAGCTACCAAGTTCAATAGATGTTTTGACTATAGGCTAGACCTATAGGTTGGTTATGTACAGCCTCCTTTATGGCAAACAACCAGTCCCTTGGCATCTTAGGGAAAAGAGATACCTTGTAACATTCACAGCATCTGCTTGTTCTTTTGAAAGAAATTTCTTAGAACCAGGATACACAATTAAAAAGAGATGCAAACATGTTTCTGGGTTAGCTCAGAAGTAATGCAATGTGACACCGCTTTAACTACCATAGCTCAGTGTTATGGAATTCTGGGATTTGTAATTCTGTGAGATAATTAGCCTTCTCTATCTGCACCTCTGGTGCCACAACAAACTATAAATCCCAGGATTTCACAGCATTGAGCCATGACAGTTAAAACAGTGTCAAACTGCATTATTTCTACAGTGCACATGCAGCCTTGGTTTCCCCTTCAGCTCACATCCAACCCTGCATACACTGGGCCAAGGACAACTGTGCATGTTATTAGCACCTGTTTGTAACATTTGGATTTTTCTGCATAACTCTAAGCAGAAAGTCTAGAAACATGGGTTTTTCTTTTCTGGGCTTAACCCTGAAGAAGTGCTTATAGTCTACCCACTTCATCCTTTTTTCCCTGTCTCCTTCTATCAGCAGGGGATGGATGAAGGTTTTGCTTTGTTTTTGACCAGCTGTCCCTGTTACAGCTATGGCCAATGTGTGGCCTTGCAGATCTCATTGGACTGCAAGTCCCAGCAGCCCTAGCTAACATACTCAGTAGCAAGTAATGCTAGGAATTACAGTCCAACATGATCTCAAGGCCTGAGTCTTCCCAAACCTGCCCTATTGAAAAGGAAGTACATTCATAATGCAGTACTTCCTCTCTCACTTCCAGTGTGCAAGAATAACCAAGTACGATTTTACAAGGCAAAAAACAAATTTTGTAATATTTTAATCATGCAGGCATGACTTAAGCCAGGTGCTCTCGAGAAGTGCTGGACTGCAACACTCATTGCACACGTTCAGCATGTTAGCAGGGGATGATGGGTAGTGTAATACCAGTGGCGACATGAGGGTTGGTGTCACACACACACACACACCATTGACCTCCTCCCATTCCACACCATGCAGAATCCTTAGGAATGGTGTTGTTGTTTTTTTTACTAATGTTACTCATAAATCATAATGCCTATATATCACTGAAGGTAATAGCAATAGTTGTGACACAAACAACTAGCAAAATTACAATTATACCTTTAAATTACATTATTGTGCGCACAGCCTAAATGTATTTACATGCACATGGTTTCATGTGCTTAAAGTGAAAATTTGGTAAAATGTGATGTTTGTAAAGAAAATTTAAAAAGAATATATTAAAAAAATAATTTTAAAAAAGCATTTAAACATTTTTTAAAATTTGGAATTTGAAATTTTATTTTCTTTTTTAGAAAAGCCTGGGGCCTCTCCTTTCTCCTCCTACCGACTGCACTCACACCATCTCCTCAGCATTTTAATGGGATGTAGGTGAATGCCACAGCCTATTTCTGCCAAAAGGCAGATGTTTGGGAAGCAGTGGTGTCACCCCCCTTTAAGGTGTCACCTGGTATGGTCTGCATACACACAAACACACACACACACACAAGTGACACCACTGGTAATAGAACTCCTCTGGAAGGGGCAGCAGGTTGGAAAAGGCTGTACAGCATTTCACAAAGTGCACCACAACCTTTTGTTGTAATTGAGAGTGTCAGTCCTACCCACACCCCTCTCCAAATTTCTCATTAATTTGAGGTTGCAAATCTTACACATACCTCAGCAAGAGTAAGATCCATTGAGAGCCTAAATACCCTGAAAAGGCCGGATCTGCTCTCATCTTGGAAGCTAAAGAGAATCAGGCCTGGTTAGTACTTGGAAGGGGGGCTGCCAAGGAATGACAGGAGCTGTAGACCAATACTAAATTGAGGCTGTCCTACTTTGGCCACATCATGAGAAGGCATGATTCATTAGAAAAGACAATAAGGCTAGGAAAGAAAGATGGAAGGAAGCAAAAAAGAAGAAAATTTCAAGCTAGGTGGATAGATTCAATCAGGGAGTTATGGGCATGAATTTGCAAGACCTGAGCAGATCTAGTCAAAGACAGCTAATCGTGAAGATGTCTCACGTCACCATGGATCAAAGTCAGCTCAATGACAGTTAACAACAACAACAAAGACCGGTGCTTCTCAAAGTGTTTGGGACTTCAACTTCCAGAATTCCTGACCATTGGCCATGAGAGCTGGGACTTCTGGGAGATGGAGTCCAAAACACCTGCATGACCACAGTATGGGAAGCACTGCTCTAGGCTATGTTTCAGGAACTTGCAAAACCATCTCTGAGTATTCTTTGCCTAAGAAACTCTTGCAAAATTAATGGGATCACCATAAGTGGACAGGCCGCTTGAAGGTCACACACGCACAAGATTCACTGAACTAAGCTGACAGGAGGAGCAAAATAGCACGCTTACCGGGTAAGTATTGCCCTTACTGTATGATCCAACCAGACCCTCACAGGCTGGTGCAGATTATAGTTATGAGCCACAGCAATGATATCCCAAATGGCCCAGCCTCTTTTCAATTTGAAGTAATGATTAGATGCTAGACTAGTCTAGAGGCTGCATCCGCACTGCAGAAATAATCC